TAATAAATAATAAATAATAAATAAATAATAAATAATAAATAAATAATAAATAATAAATAATAAATAATTATTATTTATTATTTATTGTTTATTATTTATTATTAAAGAAATCGCATGCAAAAGGAAGAAATATTTCCTCATCTTCTTTGTTTAATGAGGAAAAGGGAGAAAAATAAATAAATAAATAAATTTTTTAATTTATATTTCTTTTTTTATTAATAAATAAATAAATAAAATAATATTTATTTATTTATTTATTCCTTAATAATGTTAATTAATAAGCAACACCTCTTATATTAATTATTGCGGTGTATAGGCAGCTCTAGGTGTATGCATAGGAAACAGCTTTCCTTAGTTAGTTAGTTAGTTATTATTATTATTATTATTATTTATTTATTTATTTATTTATTCTTTATTTTAATAGGGAAATTAATTATTTTATTTTTCCTTTCTTTTTTCTTTCTTTTTTTGCACTCTTACAATGGCTGCAGCATGCATGCATAGCTGCAGCGGCACTGCTGCAGCTGCTGCTGTTGCTGCCTATAAATCATCAATTAAATAGATATTTTTCTTATTTTTATGATTTATTTTCTTTTATTTTTATTTATTTATTTATATTTTAATTTATTTTAACTATAACATTTCCTAATCAGGCCCTAGACAGCACGTAAGATGCAGGAGGCTCGTGCATGCATGCATGCATGCATGCACGCTTGCATGCATGCATGCATTATTTTCCTTTAATTCACTGTTTTTTTTGCTTATATTTGTTTTATGTTTATTATTTTATTTAATTTAATTATTTAATCTTCTTTGCTGTAAAGGAAGGGCATCAACAAGACCTGCTGTCTTCTCTTTTGCTGCTTCCTTATATCAATGCCTTACGCCATGCACTGACACGCAGCAACAGCAGCAGCAGCAGCAGCAGCAGCATCAGGCTGCTCTCTTAGGGGGCCCTAGGAGGGCCCCCATCTTCCTTTTAGATGATTATTTGGGGCCCCTAAGGGTTGCATAAAGTAGATATAATAGTAAAGGCACGATGAATTCTTCGTCCCCAGCAGCAGCAGCTGCATCTCCTGCAGCAGGATCTGCTGCTGCTGCTGCAGCTCCTGCTGCTGCAGCTCCTGCTGCTGCTGCTGCTGCTCCTGCTGCAGCAGGAGTAAAGAAGTTTTCTTTTTCCTTAAAGAAGAATACAGCAGATGGTGGTGGTCGTGGTGGTATAAAGATTCAGTTAGGTTCTTCTTCGGGTGTACGTACACCTCAAGGTAGAGGAGGAGGATCTACTACTACTACTACTACTGCTGCAGCAGCAGCAGCAGCAGCAGTATTAGGATTTGAATCAGCAGCAGCAGCAAATAAAGGAGAAGAGAGGAAGGTGCAGCAATTAATAAGTATAACAGCAGGAGGGGAACTAGAGGTAATAGGGGGAGGAGACAAGGAGGAGTCTCCTCCTGTTATACCATGTAAGCATCCCTTACCTTTATCTGCATATAGGAAACGTATAGAGGAGCAGCAGCAGCAGAAGCAGCAGCAGCAGCAACAGCAGCAGCAGCAGCAGCAGCAGCAGGAAGAGGAACCTCCGCCTAAATGGGGCTTAATAGAAGTTAAACGGTCAAGACCTGCAGCACCGAAGGCAGCAGCAACTGCAGCAGGAGCAGCAGCAGCTGCAGCAGCAGCAGCAACAACTGCAGCAACTGCAGCAACAGCAGCAGCAGCAGGTGCGAAGTCGGAGACATCACCAGTAGCAGCAGTAGCTGTAAAGACAGAGCCGGGTACAGAACCACCAGCAGCAGCAGCAGCAGCAGCAGCACCAGCAGCAGCAGCAGCAGCAGCAGATGGTGCTGCAGCAGGTCAGCTTAAGGGAGTAAAGCAGGAAGTTGGTGCTGCAGGGGAAGGAGACCCATCAGCAGGAGCAGCAGGAGAAGCAGCAGCAGCAGCAGCAGCAGCAGCAGCAGCACCAATAGGTCCTTTATTAAGTAATAATTCTTTATTAGGTACAGTACGTCGTAAATATTTACTAGAGAAGCAGCAAAAACGTGTAAAAAAAGACAGCAGCAGCAGCAGCAGCAGCAGCAGCAACAGCAGCAACAGCAGCAGCAGCAGCAGCAGGGGAGAACCAGAGAAGGAGCTGCTGCAGCGCGAACTATCTGTACTACCTGATGCTCCTCCCCCTACCTCTGCTGCTTATGACGCTATGCCTGTTGAGTCCTTTGGTGCAGCAATGCTAAGAGGAATGGGGCTGCATGCGCTACCTTCTGCTGCTGCTGCTGCTGCTGCTGCTGCTGCACCTATTAAAAGGCGTATGTACACCCGAGCAGGACTAGGCAGCGAAGAAAGGATGGAGAAGCTGCATAGACACCTCAAGAAACAACAAGAAGAAAATAAATTAATTAATAAACATAAACAAATATTTATTCCTCTTAATAATAATAAATAAATAAATAAATAAATAAATAAATAAATAAATAAATAAATATAATAAGAAATAATATAAAGAAAT